AATCTGGGGTGTGGGGACTGGAGGATCTGGGGTGTGGGGACTGGAGGATCTGGGGTGTGGGGACTGGAGGATCTGGGGTGTGGGGACTGGAGGATCTGGGGTGTGGGGACTGGAGGATCGGGGGTGTGGGGACTGGAGGATCGGGGGTGTGGGGACTGGAGGATCTGGGGTGTGGGGACTGGAGGATCTGGGGTGTGGGGACTGGAGGATCTGGGGTGTGGGGAATGGAGGATCTGGGGTGTGGGGACTGGAGGATCTGGGGTGTGGGGACTGGAGGATCGGTGTGGGACAGCGGCGTCAGATCCCGCGGGGACTGGAGCTGCCGCCTTGCCGCGGGGGGCTGCGGTCCCTGCGTACTGCAGTCCCTCGGCCCCCGCCGACGGCCCTGCGTGCTAGGGCGGAGCTGAGGGCTGGGCGAGCGAGCCTTTGAGAAGAAGATGGGCAGCGACGTGGCCCCCGACTCGGTGGCGGTGGTCTGCATCCCGTCGATGCAAAAGAGAGGCGTGCTGCAGCGCTGCACGAGGGCGCGCTCCTGCGGGATGGTCTTTGCCTGCAGCGGGAGATATGGGGAGATATGGGGAGATGTGGGGAGATCGTCTTTGCCTGCTGCGTGCGCCAGACGACCGTGAGACGGGGCGGGCAGAGTGACGCGCTGAGAGGTTTGGCGCAGAGAGGTTTCGCTCGCCTCGCGCAGAGCAGAGTCGGCGGGCTTCAGACGAGCGGTCTGGTCGAAGTAGACCTCGTCGAGCGTCTTTGCGACGAGCCTCGCGCCGCCCGCCACGGCTGCGCGCGCTTTCTCCGCCTCGCGCGGCGAGAGGTAGTACGTCACCTCGCCGTCCTGCTGCACGAGTCCTCCCGCGGCGCTCATCAGCCCAAAGACAGGCACCTCCTTCAGCCGCCCGAGCACCACGCTGCGCGGCACCACGTCGTTGCTTTTCGCTCCGCTCGGCGCGCGCAGCGGCCGCCCGCCCTGGTATTGCGGGCCCTTCCGCGAACGCTTCTTGGCCATCCGCTTCTCGGCGCGCCCCATGAGGGCACGGCCGACGCGGACGACACAAGAACGAGCCGCCGGCGCCAACACGACCGGGCTGCTCGAGTGCGTGTGAGCCGGGAGCGCAAAGGCGGAGGCGTGAGGCAGGGCCGCTAGGGCGAGAGCGATGCGCAGCATCGATCGCCACCTGGTTGTCGGCGTTGTCAGCGAGGTCACTCAGCACCGCCGCGGCCTGCGACAAGAGCCGGACAAGAGCTCTAACACCCAGCTCGCGCGGGACCAGCACGCAGGGTTCGGACAATTTGCGGGGTAAGGTTTCTCGAACTTCTCGAGGTGGATATCCTTTGGCCGCGTTGGGTAGCGAGGATTGGTGTGACGCGATCCACGCAGGCGTGTTTTCTGGCGGCCGACCGTCAGTGCACGGAGTTGCCCCTTCTCCGACTGCCCCGGCTAGTTCACGAGTTTCGCGGGAGTGCAAAAACAAACAACCGGGAGTGACCCCTGCGTCAAACCCGAGACCTAGCGCGGGTGGGTTGGAGGGGGCTCGCCCCGTTCCTCCCCATCGGGCCGCATAAGCGGCCACGCCTCGCAGATTCGTTTCTCGCGCCTGGGTCAGGCGCGCGGGGCATCCCCGGGTCGCTACGACCAGCGATCCGAAGAGTGGCCGCTATGCGAAGGAAAGAGTGGGGCCCTCGGGGTACGCCTCGTCCGGCCCCCTCCGAGGGGGGAAGGAATTGCGGGGTCCCCTCGGGCGCCTCAGTTCGGCCCTCCCGAGGGGGGGAGGGGAGCAAGGGGGTGGGGGGATCGGGGCGGTGGGGAGGGGTCTCGGGTTTCGTGTGGCTAATACTTGCCCTTTCGGGGAGGGGCCTCAGGAAAGGCGAGTCCAGCTCAACCCTACGTCTTCCCCTCCCCCCTTGGTGATGGGACTGGGTGGTCGGGCGGGCGGGCGGACGGGCGGGCAAGCGGGGCAGCAGCTGCTGCAGCAGCAAGCTGCAACCTGCCGCAGATTGCTGCCGTTGTCTGCGCCGCGATCCGCCGCCGCGCCGCCGCGCCGCCGCCGCCTGCGCTCGCCCCGTCCCTCATGTAGTCAGCGTTCGTTGAACACTCGCCCGCCTCTGCCCACTTGGTGCAGTCCGAGGCGGAGTCGGCGCATTCGCCCGCCTCCAGCATTCGCCCGTCCTGGTAATCAGTCTGTCCAGCGCGGTCGACACGCACGGGATCTACGGCGGACGCCGCGGAGTGGACATCGAGGAGGAGAGCGAATAGCCACCAACCCATGGGATCCGTGTGAGTGCTTCATCGGATCGAAATTGAAGAAAACCTGCAGCGGCCGGCGCAAAAATGTTAACAAAAACGGCCTTGAGAGAGCAGTGACGAAGTTGCTCTTTTGACAACAGAATACGATTTTCAAGATTCTGACGCCGGGCCTTTGCCTGATAGCGAACACTTCTCAGAGAGCCGCCGCACTGACGCCGCCGCCGGGTGCAGTCAGCGGCGGCCAGTGATGCGACGGATCGCCGTCGAAGCGGGAGTAGGCTTGGTTGACCGCCGCGCCGGCGCCGAGGAGCAGCCGCACGCACTCGAGCTGGCCCTTCTGGCACGCGATGAACAGCGGCGTGGCGCCGGTGTCCTTGGCTTGGTTGACCGCCGCGCCGGCCCCGAGCAGCAGCTGGGCGCAATCGAGGTGGCCCATCTGGCACGCGATGAACAGCGGCGTGGTGCCGCCGTCCCTAGCTTGGTTGACCGCCGCGCGGGCGCCGAGGAGCAGCCGGGCGCACTCGAGGTGGCCCTCCTCGCAAGCGATGAACAGCGGCGTGGCGCCGTCGTCCTTGGCTTTGTTGACCGCCGCTTGGTCGGCGTCAGCGCTGGCGCCGAGAAGCAGCCGAACGCAGTCGAGCTGGCCCTCCTGGCACGCGATGACCAGCGCGGTGGAGCCACGGCCCGTCGTCGCCCCCACGCTCGCGCCGCTCTCGAGCAGCAGCCGCACGGCGTCGGCCTGCCCGTGCCCAGCGGCGCAAGTCAGCAGCGTGTGCTGGTTCGCGGCCTCGAGCCGCGCGTCGAGCATGGCCGTGAGTGCCGGGCCGCGTGTCCACCCGGCGAGGAGGGCGCGCAGCGAGCCCAGGTCGCCCTGGCGAAGGTCGGCGGGGCACGACCGGGCTGATGGCGCCGCTCATGGCAGCGAAATCGCGAGTTTTTCTTCTTTCTTCTTTCTTCTTGGCTGGGATACACTCACACATCGAATTATCACTTGGCGAGGTCGCCCTTGGCCAGGTCGTCGATGGCGCCGCTCATGGGGAAAAGGGAAAAAAGCTGGGCACTTCGCAGGACCCGCCCCCACTCGGCAAGAGCCGAATCCGGCCACAGCGCGCAGAAAGGTCAATTTCGCTCGGCCCGGCCATCGCGACGACGACCGCCGCCCGAATTTGGGAGGATTCCGATCGCGATCGGAGCTCGTCCCCTTACATGACTCTGGAGGGGACGAGCGGCGGGGTTGGCGGGGCGGAGTGGCGATTCCCATCCTGCAGAGCAAGGGTCTTGGAAGGACGATCCGCTCGCCGATCCCTTCCCGCCCAGTTTCGACGGCGCATCCACCTGGCCGGACACATCCGACGAGCGCGGCGAGCCGGCGCTGGGCTCGCGCGGCGTCACCTTTGCTGACGAGTCGCCTTTGCCGGACCTCGACCGCCCGCCGCTGCCGACCTCGCTAGAGCGCTCTGGCACATATGCACATACGTGTATGCATGTGCATGTTGTGCATGTGCATGTGTGTATGTGCGTGTGGCAACTTGTGACACATACGTGTGGCGCGCACAGTGTCCGCACCGGCTTTCCGGAAACACACACATATGCGGCCCTTGCGGGCGCGCGGGGATATTTGCGGGGGCCGGGGGGTTCCCCTCATGCCATGAGTCTGCGTCATGCGATCATGCCGCCGCCGCAGCAAGGAACAGAAAACTGACCGTTCGCGCTTGCAACGGAGAGCGGGACGCTCAGGAGCGGCGTTAAAAAGCGCACCAACCGGCAGCGCGCCGCTACAACTCGACCGGAGAGAAAACTCGGACCCACGAAGACAAGGAGCGCGCGCCAATGGCCGCCTCCGTGACACTCCCACCTCCTGGGCCGGCGCGGGAGTTTTACTGCCGAGTTTCTCCCGGCCGGCCGCCTCCTGACACGCCCACTGACCGAGCCCATCGAAAAAAATTCGGCGCGCCGCACTGCTCTGACCCCTGCTCGCCCCTGCTCGCCCCTGCTCGCCACTGTCGCCTCGGTTGCCGAGGCTGCCGCGCACCCGCGCGCTACGCGACTACGAACTGCACCAGCTGGGCTCGAACCAACGACCAAAACGTCCCCGACCCGAACGCTGCACCAACTAGGCCACACCGCAGGCTCGATATGCAATACGCACAAAACTGGCCGCTCATAAAGCACTACTCATTTGCCGAGGCCACGCGGCGCCCCTCCACAGCCAGCCTACCCTCCTATCGCGCCACTCGAAGCCCCGCGGCCGCCTCTCGCCTACCGCGCTGCCCTCGCCTGCCACCGCACCGCCCGCGCTCCAGCCTAACCAGCTCTGCATCTCGCAACACACACTTGACAGGGACAGACCAGGCGCAGGAAAAGGGAGCGGGGCCCGAATCCAAGGGACCACCCCGTCGGGCGGAGGAGCTGTGAACTCAGGTCCAGCAGGAAGGCTGCTGGCTCCTGACTCATCCCCCAAATCCCCCACACCTTGGCGGCCTGAAACCTTACCATTCCGACACCTCACACACACCCCTCCCCTAGGGCTAAGCAGTGCGCGAGCCCACCCGACTTCAGGCGAGACGTTGACCACTCCTTTGGAACAGTTCTGTCAGTGGCTGCACTAGACGCCCACAGAGGCGCGCGGCGCGGGCAGATGACTAGGGGAGAAAAAGCGGAGAACCTAGCTCGCTGGGAGATGTGCGCAACCTAAAGACGGGAATAGGGGAGAAGTGTCAGTGTGAGGGGAGGGCGTAGGCTGGCGTTTTTGCCTTTGAAAACTGAACAGTTTTTTTTTACAACTCGACCGGCGGCCGCCCCTCCTCCCCCCTCCGGTCATCCCGCTCCGCCTCGCGCCCTCCCCGTCCCCTCCGCACGGCCCGCCACTGCCTGCGCAGCTCGTCGCACGCGGTAGCCACGCCGAGCAGCCCGACCAGAGAGCCGTGCGAGCGCGCCAGCCTCCCAAAGTGGGCGGCCTGCACCAGCCGCGCCGCCTCGAGCGCCGCGTCGCACAGCAGCGCGCTCTCGCCCTGCTTGCGGGCAGGAGGGCGGGTGGTTGGCTGGTCGGTAGGGTGGGGTGGCCGCTGACCGTGGTGGAGGCGCGAGGGCAGGTGAGGTGAGGCTGGCTAGCAGGAGGTAGGGGTGGGTCGAGAGGGAAGGCGCCTCGCCCAGCCGCACCATGCATGTGCCTGCTCGCAGCCACGCGGGTAAGCAGAAGCTCACAAGCTCTCGCCCAGCATCTCCCCATCTCGCCCCATCTCGCCCCAGATCTCCCCAGATCTCCCGTAGGAGCTCGCCTAGCAGCGGCTCGCCCTGCGGAGACGCCTCTGCACCACCTCCCCCTACGGGAGGTATGGGGAGATGTGGGGAGATGTGGGGAGATGTGGGGACGCCTCTCCCCCACCACCACCTCCTCCTCGACCCGACGGCCGCCGCCGCCCCTCCGCCTCCTCCTCCTCCTCGCTGTCTTGCCGCCGCACCCGCAAGCTCTCTGGCAATCGCTCTCGCAGCGCCGCGACCGCAGCAGTGCGCGCCTTTCTCCCGCCGGGTGTGCGGGAGAGGCGGAGGAGGAGCAGGGCGAGGAGCGAGGCGCTGCGCAGGGCGAGCCTGCAGCACGGACGCAGAAAGAGCGAGGGTGGGAGAAGGCGCTGCCGTGCACACACACACACTGCACCGCGCCGCAGAGTCCGTGCCGTCGCGAGTGCTCGTCCGAAGAAGACTGTGAGGCTCGCCGCTCGCCGTCTAGGAGGGGCGCATCTAGGAGGGGCGCATCTCAGATCTCCCCATATCTCCTCAGATCT